CACTGTCTGTAAAGTGTATCATCCAAGAAGAAAGTAAGGGGTTTATGCCGAGTGAGAGAGATGTTGCTGCCGTTGCTGTTGGGGACAAATTTTACTGGTGCAGGCTCAGAGGTTAGATGAGGAGGAATCAATAGCATTGGTAAGCTTGCAGGCAGGCAGCTGTATGCTTTGTAACACTGTCACGTTGGTGGCTTGAAGGAACGGCATTGTGCTGACATAACTGTAGAGGCTATGTCTGAAATTACAGGCCTCACCTGGCCTGTGCTTTTCTTTTTTCTTTTTTTTAGATAGATGCAGTTTATCACCAGCAACCCTGAAATTGCAGGTCATTGTGTTCCTTCAGTTTGGCTGTAATGCAAGGCTTTTTATTTTTTCAAGGTGAACGTAAACCTAACCTGTGACGGTAAATGATCCCAAGACAGTGTTTGTGGTTAATAGAAGACACCACACTACTTGAGACTTAATGTTCATCTTTTAAAGTTTGCACTGTGCCTGATTCAAGCTATTTGAAGCCTTGATTCACAATGTGAATCCAAGCAGTAACCTGTTTCGTATTGCACTCAGTTAAACTGTGTTGCAATGACTCATAGAAAACTGTAATTTTACATGAAGACATGAGCGTGTGTGTGTGAGGTAATGGTGAAACTATCGGAAGCAACACAGATTTCTTTGATGAGCACAAGCACAGACGTGCAAGGTCGACTTTGCTCCAACACTCTCATTAAAAAAGTCCCGTCTGTCTTTTCCACAGGATGACATCAACAGTTTAAACGTCACCTGCATCTGCAACACCAGTTTTAACAGAAACGGTAGAATAACACCAAAAATATCTTTGTCTACTGGTCTAATCACACAAGACCACACAAGAACAGGGTTCAGTCAATCAGCTCAAATATTTGCATGAAAAAGCTCGATATCGACCAACTGTTTTCGACTAATATAAAATAAATGCTAAATTAACATAACATAGACTGGATTCTAAAGATCTGAAACTTCATTTGTGTTTTCCTACAAATACTCACTGTTTGATTTTTCGTTTTTTCTTTCTTTTTCTTTTTTTTAATATTCACCACCCTCAGGCTTTTACCCTTCCACTGAGAAACTGGCCGAGCTCCAGCCCTCATGTCGACTTAACATTCTCAGCAGCGCTGCAGTTCAATTTTGAAAGATTGGCTGTTGGCATTTTGGAGCAGCCATGAAAACACCTCCTCATTTCTCTGATTGGATCGTTTTGTTTTGTTTTTCCTCCAGTAAGTGGAGAGACTTGTAATTTTATATTTTTCTTAGGCTCACCTGACACCTACCCCCCACATGTCAAGGTGGAAGCTGTATTTAAAAGATGAGCAGGTAGAGCACTGTGGCTAAAAGGGAAACTTGACATGTGACGGTCATTTAGTTGTTGTGGAGATGTGGAGGTTTTGCTGAATATTAATGATACGATCCACTTTTTGGTCCCTGGATTATTCTGTGGGAATCTAATCCCTGCTGTCATAATCTCCTTGGGAATGGCGAAACATAAATTGTAGAGCAGATGCCTGTGTGTGTGTGTGCGTGTGTGTGTGCGCGCGTGTGTGTGTTGCTATGCCCATGTGTTTTCTGCCACTTGATTGGCACAAATGTTTGCCATTTGAATCCATGTACTGAACAGGTAATTGTGCTTGTGTTGTAAATCTAAAGCAACACAAGAACCATGGCTGAACCATGTTCTTTTGGGATGACATTTTTCTTTTAACAATGAATAGCGTGTGGTTCTGTGGTTTCTTTGTGGTTCCAGTAAGCTCTATGAAGCTTTTCAGCTTGTTGTTTTTTTGTTTTCTGGGTCTGCAACTCTCTCACGTCTCTCTTGTTTCATCTTGCTCATTGCCTTGGTCTACATTGCTGAACATGGTGGCGCATTCAGCTACTGAAGAGTCACACGGAAACTGGTTGACAAATTAAAGGAAAAACCAAAGTCCCTAACTCCTACAGTGTGTTGATCTAGCAGCTCTGTCATGAGAAGCATTTTGCTGGAATTTTTTGGGTCTGCCTGTCCCTTTAGAGGGACAGGCAGACCCAGATTAGAGGAAAATCATGTTCCTGGAAATCATTGCAGTGTTGGAATGATCAACCTTACTCTTTAAAAGAACTGTATCCTGTTAGAAGTGGTCTCAAGGGACATGGATGGATTTGATGATCAAGAAATGATGCCAATCATATTCTCTGCCTTTAAGCTGTGTTTGCAGTGAAATGTTGACCAGGGATCAGAGAATGTGAATTATATTCTGTAACTTTAAGTGACTACAGGAGAAATGACCCAAAGTGGGCTGGAGATGAGATAAACTTTACTCAACTTCCAGGCAAGCGATGGAAACAACTATCAATGAGAGCGCAGGAAACAGCTGATTAATAAATGACCTGGTAATAAATATGTTAGTGTTACCTAGGCAACTGGAGACAAGTGACTAGCCGTCAGCTGCAAAATGGAAGAATATCTATAGTCAATAGAGTTAAACTCTGTAGCTTTTTTGATTGCACTTAATACTTCTTTCCCTTTCATTTATTATGCATCTTGTATCCCTCAGCACTTAATGAGAAAAGGTCAGAAATGCAGTATACTGGACTTATTATAAGCGTAGTGTCCAGGCCCACAACTCTGGTGGGTATGTGCTAAGTGTTTAAATAGCTAAATGTTAGCCACTTCTAAAGAACAGTAGAATGTCAATGCCAAAGGTTTAACTGTACCAAATGATGGGATTTCTGCTCATGTTATGTCATCAGTTTCACAAGAACAACTAGTGACAAGCTCGCAGTTTGAGATTAGAGAGAACTTTTAGGCACAGACTGAACTTTGTAGTTGAGTCGGGAACACAGATTCTGCCGCAGCGATACGTTTCTGAGTCACGGCTCTAATTTACTGTAGGTTTAGCACAGTGACTTTAATGTCAGTCTGATTGCACAACAGTCTCCGAAACACTGACACCCAGAACAACAGCAACTTAAAACAAAGAAGACCCACCACTGTCAGACATCCGCAGCAGACCAGTTGCTCCAGCAACCTCACCACCAGGGATGGAGGAATGTCTGGCTGTAGTTCAGAACCAGCAGTGTCCTGACGCAGGGGGCTGATCCACATTTAACGAAAAAACATTCGCATAACACTAATGGACTCATCCCAGTGTGGTGACTGAAGGGCAAAAGAGGAAGTTAAGTGTCAGTGATGTTTTTGTGCACTAATGCAGCTCCAGTGGGAGTGTGTGGACTGTTGCATAAGTACTGAAAAAACGCTATCAATATTGGATGTTTTCCTACTGGAGGCTTCGTTGCTCGGAAAAAGGGTTTGTGGATTCATTCAACTTTCTTGCGGTGCTCTTTTCTTTCCAGAGATTTCCATCACTGGTGTTAAGTTTCAATCAGGACTTTAAAGAGGCTTCATAGTGTTTTTGTTATTGTCGGTGATGATGGGAAGTTCAATTGGAGACAAAACTAACGATTTTAATGATTTACCTGATACACGGAAATGTAAAGGTGTATGAGATG